ATTTAACAAGTGTTTAGTGTGGGCTTATTTCCAAAATTTAGCCCCACTCCCTAAAGATTTCAGCAAATTATTTTGTTCTCTTCACTTTATGTTCAAGTCTAACGTGTGATGTTTTCTTTTTTCTACCAGTTTATTGTTTGTATTTCCGTTTTCCTGACCAGATTTTGTGTGATAGCATAGCTATCCTGAAGGACATGAGCTTTGTATAAACAACTGTGAGGTGAATTGTATCCAGGGATTATTTTGAAACTACCTGATGTCAGTCAGCTTAGTTAGTTTCACTTTTAAAGGGTGACAGTCTCCAACCTTGTTATCAGGTTCTAGTGAAAGACCCGTTTTAGGGCTTGGTGCCTGAAATTATAGTGGCAAGATATATCTATGATTATGTTCATGATTGTTGTTCATGCCATTGAGGTTTTGTGTAAGGGTTGCCATATCATCTAATAACTAGAATGGTAAGTAAAGAAGAACTAGTTATTAAGTAAATGAAAATAAATATGCATTCCTTCCTCATCTTTGAGATGTTTGTTTCTAATGTGGCTGACCACAGGGAGGGACGACTATATGCAGGTTAGTTATGGCTAAGTTACTCCACTCAGGAAACTTCTATGAGACCCTACCATGCACCAGCTATTATGGCTGATGGTGGGAATTCAGCAGTGATTGAAACACTCATCATGCATTGGAGGTCATGCTTTCAAAAGCACCTTTCAACTCTGAAAGTGTAGGCTTTTTGTACTGACTTAACTTCTTACATAAATTCATGTTTGCATGCACACACACACACTCTTACACAGTTTGTTCTTTGTATTGGAAGGCAGTGATTCTTGTACCCTTAGTCACTGATGTTTTAGCATGTTTTCCAGAAGTAACAATTATAGTTTTCCTCATGAAAAAGCAGTAACTGCCAGTTGTAGTAGCCCCTGTGTCAGGTACCTTTTGCTGTTATAGTCAAAATTCAAAACCTGTTGGCTCAACGGCACGCATGATGTTTTAAAGAAATTGTATTCAAAAAACGTTTACAGGGAAATTTGCCATAGACTCCCACCATTCTATTGTACAGGCTTGGCCCAACCTCCTTATCCCCACCTGCCCAGTGTTTCTCCAGTGAGGACATAACCAGCGCCCTGTTGTGTAGACAATGCAGACATGATTTTAGAAGTTGATAGATCAAATTCATGTTGTCTCAGGCTAGCAGAGTGCACAGCCCAGAACTTCTCATTCCAGCCCTCAGCTTCTACTCATTGGCCCAGAAAAAAATTCACAGATAACCTCCACACAAAGAAATGCGAGGGGATGAGAGCTCATTGTGTGAGAATGAGTAGATTTGTGAAATATGAATATTAAACCATTTCTCACTTGTGGATTCTAAAAGCAAATCCTAATTTGTGTAGAATGAGCATTTGAACACTGGAGGCTGGCAATGAACTTATAAGATCATTCAAGAGTGTTACAACATGATGATTATACAAAGGTGCTTAATCTTGTGACATTTACCACTGAGCTAAATCTACAAGGTTAGTCTGTTTCTAGAGCACAATGTAAATGTTATATGATTGAAATACTGGTATATGCAACCCCAAGAGCCACTGGGCTGTCTTTTCTTGCTCCAGATCACTGCATTAAGCCTTTTGGAATGGAATTTGGATGCGCAAATGTTACTTTTATGAATTTTAAAGCAATTTTGATATTTCAGAAAGATTTTATTCTGAAACTTTAGAGTTTCTCATGAACTTCACACTTTATTCTTAAAAGTGGACATCTGCCCCTTTTACAAATAATTATGTATATGCAAAACTAAAAGACAGTATCTGCCTCTAAAAACTTCCCAAAATCATGGCCTCAATGTGCCACTCACCTGTCACACTTTATTACTATGTGTTGTACTTGAACTCTGAGCAGTCGATTACAATTTACTGCAAAGAAAATTAGTCTAATTTGTAGATTTATTGGACACATACTTTGTAAAAGGAGTAAGTGTGTGTATGCCTTCAGTTTTCTTGAAGGTTTCTTATGCAGAAGAAAGTATCAGAAATATTTAGAAATCAGGCTTAAATAGGAATATTTTGCATTGGGAACTTAAGCACACTATTTTCTCAGGATGTGATAATTTTTGGAATTTCAGGCCCAGAGATTCCTTACACATTTCAGAGTTTAAATAAATACAGACCTTTTTAATTCACATACTTTCAGTAAGAGGAAAAATAATCAGTGTTTAACAAGATAACTGAGAACTTTTATATCATCTGGGGATGAAGTCCATTTAATAATAAATAGTGTTAAGAAGGAGGGAAATAATTGTATCACTTCGTTAAAAGAAAATATTCTTTTGAGTATGTCTTAGCTCTGAAGAGTTTGGTGAAGCAAAGCACTTACTTTTGGCATAGCGGAAACATATTTAAAAGGGAGTAGATTTTGCCTTTTCACATAATGCAATAATCTAGGCATTCAGTCTATGTGATGAAGATCAAGGTAAAGAAAGTACGAAATATTTATGCATGAAAAAATCTTTTCCATTTTAGTTGTTTAGTCAAAGCTTTGGGAAGATAGCTTTCAGATCTTAGACACTTACTGATATAAAGTGTTTTCCTACATACTTTATGATATCTTAAATCTTTCCAGCTACTAAGTAGGCAAGAAGAATTGCTTCTCCATATTTTTATTTATCTTTTCAATTTTCCACATAGCCCCTGTACCTTTATTATTCATCAGCTAAACACAAAAACACAATTTTCAAATTAAGCCTTCAGACATGTTTAGTCAGGCCATAAAGATTCTAACTCTAGAGCTAAAATCCTCTTTTCCCCCAACAAACTGTATTTTCTGGGTAACAAAAATACAAGTACCCTTTGTCATGAGAGTCTGTCGTTCAAAGGTGTATGAAATTAACTACATCTTTTCTGATTTGAGTTTAGAGTTTTTCCCAATGCAAGCATTAAGATGCTCAGAAGCTTACAAACCATTAATTGCTTAAAAATTCAACCCACCACATGGGGCATCTGGGTGGCTCAGTTGGTTAAGCATCCAACTTCAGCTCAGGTCATGATGTCACGGCTCATGAGTTCAAACCCCACGTTGGGCTCTGTGCTGACAGCTCAGAGCCTGGAGCCTGCTTCCGATTCTGTGTCATCCTCTCTCTGCCCCTCCCCCACTCACACTTTGTCTCTCTCTCCTTCAAAAATAAGTAAAAATTAAAAAGAATTTAAACCCACCTACTTGTGATTTACTGTCATATTTATTCTCTGAAAGTCAAACCCAGCATGTGTAGGACTGTGTCTTCCATGTGGTTTGTCTGCATTTGTACCTGCCTGGAAACCATTGAAATGTGGGACTAAACTTATACATTTGTTCATTTCCTATGGCTTCCATCATTAAAACTTTATTATGTATTATTCAGATATAGAAAACGATATAAACACATAATCTAGTGTAATGATGAACATCCATAAAACCACTACTCAACTTAAGAAATAAAGACAGGGGCATGTAGGTGACTCAGTTGGCTAAACATTAGCTTCCATTCAGGTCATGATGTCACGGTTTGTGAGTTCAAGACCCACGTTGGGGTTTGCTGTCATCATGGAGCCTGCTTCAGATCTTCTGTCCCCCTCTCTTTCTACCTCTTTCCTGATCTCTCTCTCTCAAAAATAAATAAACATTTAAAAAAAGAGAAAGAAAACCAAAAACCTAAATTTCCTCATATTGCCCCCAAACATACCCCACTTTCTTTCCATAAGAGCTTTAAAATACCTTAAAGTGGAGGCTTTTCATTTTCACATTTTAAAATATGTTTAGTGCATTGATACTACTTTATATGTTTTAAAACTTTACATAAATGGTATCAAACTGTATTTTGTGTACTTTCATTTGTGATAATATTCACATTTCATGTCTTTATTTGCTTTCAGAGCACGTAATATGTCCAAGTTAAATATTTTATGTACTAATATAACAATTTTTAGATGACACATGACATGAGTAAAGAACTCTGAGCTGGAATTCAAAAATGAGTACTACTTCTGGTCCAGTAATGAGTTATTTGGGAACAGCTGACATCTCAACTTTTTTATTGAAATCCTCATCTATAAAATGAGTATTAGATTACCCACATTCTCAGTTACAATGATCAACTGAGATGATTGTTGTTATAATACACAAAAATTGATAGAATTGATAGTATAATTTTACTGTAACAATTAAGTCTTCCAGGAGGAAGACGGCTTTATTTATACAACAGATGTGTTCTTGAGACTGTGGGTTATTTCTGAGTTTTTCAAGGTGAAATCGACTTTGATGCGTCAAGTATTCTCCTCTTTTAAAAACTATTTTTTCTGTTTAAAAACTCGTGTTTAAAAACCAGCATCTTTTTTCCTTTCTTATTTTGGCTTCCTGTTGTTAAATATGGCTCTGGGGTTAATGCCTTTACCGTTGCGGACCCCCTTGGTGGCATTTAGGGTCTTTTACTGCAGTGTGCCATTTAGGAAATAGCATTGTGATGGCTGAGAGGAGTGGAGAGTGCCTCAGGGATAGGTATTTACCCAGACAAATTGAAATGGATAGTTGAGCACTTATCCAATTAATTTATTAAATGTGCTCAGTCGGTCTGAATAAATCAAAAGAAGTGTGCTCTTTCCCCCCTTCATTGGCAGCATGAGATTGGCCTGAAGTACATGAGATAATTACCTCAACTTCTACTTCCTCTTTGCCTATGCAGACCCAGCCTAAAGTTTCCCCCCAGTGAACAGATCATTCTTACCTCTTCAGAAAATCTTGAAAAATCCTTAACTTCTAGAGGCTATTCTGTTGTGCTTTCTACTATACTTTAACCATTTGTTTCCGCTAAGTAGCTGGGCCATGTTTCAATTCAGGTATGCCACCATGGAATAATATATTTATCGTCCTCATTTATGAAAGGTGATGTTTAAAGTAGATTTTGTAATGTGGATTTTTTAAAATTTAAATACGGTAAGAGGGGAAAAATCTTGATATTTGTTTTACAGATGGCAGCTGAATGGAAGTGATATTAATCCGAGTATGGAATATCGCTATAAGTTGAACGGAGGAAATCTTGTCGTTATTAACCCAAACAGAAACTGGGATACGGGAAGTTACCAGTGTTTTGCGACAAATTCACTTGGGACAATTGTCAGCAGAGAAGCTAAACTCCAATTTGCATGTAAGTTTACATTTGCAACATCTAGCAAACCCAATATTTTAAAATATTTAACTGAGTTTGTGTGGTCATTTTGGATTTCAGAAACAATACGTGGATTTTATTAATTGGATAAATAGGTTGAGGAGACAATTCAGTGTGATCTTTTGGATCTCTGTGTACTGTACAAATCAGAGCTTAAAATGCGTGGGGGTGTGTTTTCCATTTTGCTATTTTTGTAAGGATTCTGTTTAGGAATGGAAAAAAGAATCCAGTTGAGAATATGTTCATCGAGTAGCTACTCTGTCTGCTACTGCATTTGAACTGAAAAGAAAATGAAGGAATTGTCAGACATGATCCTCGCTCTGGGAGAACATTGAAATTAGAGAAATTAGAGAATTATGTCTGAGAGATTTGAAAAGATTTAAGGAACCAAGACAATGAGAAGGAAAAGAATCTTATTGACCTCCCTTATGGTTTTGCCCAGCTCACAGTGACCTTCAGGGCAACCCTCACTGAGGCAGGGCTCTGGAGGCCAGCTTTGTACTGTGTTAATTGGACCTGGGTGAACTTGTGGCCCAACCTGAGAAAAATCACAGCCTTTCTCCAGGGAATTCTGAATTGGGACCAGAGATCTCATTTAGTTTTTATCTTCCTGATAATATCTTGTGACTACTTTCTACTTTTTGCTTCTTTTAGTTTCTGTTCCTTTGCTTTAGCTGTATATTTTGTATGTAATGCATCTTAGGGTTACCTTGGTTGTAAGGTTTCTCTTAGTTCTTTACATATACCTCAGTAATTCTGAAATTGGAATGCATGTGTTCTTATAATGTGGTAGTATTGTCTCCCCACAGCCACAAGCCATTAAGAAATTGATGATGTGTCATTTAATGCATGGCTTATTCTGCAGTTTTCTGTTCTTTATAATGACAATGGTTGGTTTTGCTCCTGATACTATATTCTGCATGCTCTGTTTGCACACTTACTTGCTCTTTCCATTGTTTTCACTTTGTTATCTTCGATGAACAGTGTTTCTGGCTCTCTGATTTAAAGCTGTACCTTCCTGAGTACTTTGAAAGCTAGATTTTATATCATACAAATTTAAGTTTGCCTTGAAGTTTACCAATTAGTATTGTATATGTTCTTTTAATAGCCAGAATTTTAAATCTAAATTGTTTTTTCAGAGTTACTCCATTTTAAACAATAAGTTTCATTCCTTTTTTCCCTTACTGTATATTTTGCTGTCCTGGTGATTTCTGTGGTTATTGATTTAAATTGGTGTTCTGCCGTTTTCATAGAGGGGTGTGCGTGTGTGTGTGTGTGTGTGTGTGTGTGTGTTTGTGTGTGTATATACACATACAGGGCAAGCATATATATTAGGCACTATGTATATATGCATGTATGTGTGTATATACTAAGTATACATATAATATTTTTCTCATGAATGATTTAATATGTGCATATTGTCTTTAACCAGAATTTTGCCAGAATCTATGAGGTATCAGTGTTTTTACCTAGTTTCAATGCCCGCCATTAGACCTCTTCCCATTCTTGCATTTTTATTTTTTTAGTATCTCCATTTTTAAATATTTACTATTTAATAACTCACATTTAAAAACGGAACTATATATCATCATATTTTAAAATTTATTTTGAGAGTGCACGCATGTGTGAGGGGCAGAAAGAGAGGGAAAAAAGTATCCCAAGCAGGCTCCGTGCTATCAGCATAGAGCCTGATGCAGGGTGAACTGTGAGATCATGAGCTGATTTGCAATCAAGAGTCTGATGCATCACCAAATGAGCCTCCCAGCTGCCCCTGTTGCATCATATTACATTTTAAAGAATGTCATTATATTGACTTGAGTATGAAGATACCTTCTGGTTAGTACAAAGGTTGAATCCCCAGACTGCCAAAGAATTCCCATATGGTGTCCTATTGTCTTATGGAGTTAGTGTTGCTGAACACAAGTCTGAGATCAGACTCACTTCCGTTTCTTGGGAGCTCACCACCACTTCCTTTTTTGTTGCTTTTTTGTCTCACTTGGTTGCATATGTGATAATTTTTCTTCATCCCTTTAGTTAAAAACATGTGTATTTCTAGCATACAGCAACGTTTAGCTCTTTTTAAAATTACTTTGCTTAGAATTTGAGTTACTATTATAATTGCATGTTTTGTACACAGTTTAGGAAATTTTCCTTCTTTTATATCTTTTAGTTTTATGTTTGATTTACTCATATTTAAAAGGCACTGATACTCTGTATACTGGATTTTTTTTTTGTCCTATTTTTTGAAATACGTTTTACCTCAGGCTGTTCTTTCCTTTGAATTTCTGTTCTTCATTCGATGAGGCCACATCTATTTGTTTATATTCTTTTAAGGATATAGTCAGTTTTCTGAAATGCTCTTTTGGATCTACAGGCAGTGTTTGTTCCCACTTCCATTTGGTGTTTTCATTTTTATGCTTAATATTTTAAATATGCTCTAAAGCAAATTTTATCCAAACTCTGTTTTTATCAACAGATGCTATCAGTGGATTACCCTGACTCTGTTTGCTTTGCTACATGCAGAGGTCAGATTCTTTGCTCTGATCTATAGCAGAATGTACAATTCCCAGTCTAACTCCCTATTTCTAGGAGTCTTTCACCAAATATATTGTTCCTTTTATGCAGTGATATTTTTCTTTTACAGATTTTTTAAAGATTTTTTTTCAGTCTATCCTTCATAGAGAGTATGGCTTGTTTGGAAATACCTCTGAAATTATATCATGCCTCTTCTAGTCTCCCTGTCCAGTACTTAACAGACCAAGTGGGATAAAGTTGTTAAGTCTAGGATTTTATTTACCCTACTTACAAGCTAATAAGTTAGCCTGCTGCTGTTTCACTGATGGTAGCAGAAGACACGATATTCCTGGATCAGTGACAGAGGGCTTTATTACTCACAGCTCAGCAAGCAACATGCTTCCTTACCCTCAAGTCCCACAGAGGTGTTAAGCTGTGGCTGGAAAGATGCTGCACACACAGCTGAGGAACACTGGGCTTAGAGACCCCGCCTCTCTTATAGCAAGCAGTAAGCAACCTGCTTTTAATCCTAGAGAAAGCCATTACCTTATCCTTCCAGGCTGCTCTCTGCAGACACATCCTGAGAAAGACCTTTCAGCCTTGGCACACCCAGCAAAAACTTGCAGAGAAGCTAACAGCACATGGTTGATTGCCTCTCCCAAAAAGGGTTGTCAGTTTTTTGTTTGTTTGCTATAATCCTTGAGTTTTTCACTTGGGTGCACCCTATCAGGATACATGTGGTAACAGCCTCACATACATTCTTGTTCTGGTGCTTGTCATGAGTTGCTTAGCAGTGTTGGTGTACAGGGAGTCTTTGGTTTGCTTTGGTTTTGCAGTTTGAGGAGGGGACAGTTCATAAGTGCTTTTGGAAATAGACAAGAAGGAATTTTGGGTATTCTTTGCCTAATGCCATGTTAGATTGGAAATGTAAAAGATGCATTTTTAAAATGATATAGTTGAGATATAACTGGTATCTTCTGGTAAAGAGACCAAAGACAGTGGAAAAAAACAGTGGAAAATATTTGCTAGATCAGAGATTTCAAACCACCGGTTTTAAAGAAGCCTCGCTTTGACTTGGTAGCCTTGAAAGGATGTGGTGCATTAACCGAAGATGGAATTAGGATCAAGACCCTTGTATTAGTAAGATGCTCATGACTTCAGGGGATTTTGACTGTCTTTGCTGTAGACAAATGGATGGTAACTGGGTTGTCACTGAGAAACATTCAAATTGTTCACTATATGTCTCCTCTCTTGATTATGTTTGCATGGTTAGTGATACTTTTTGTTTCTATTAGTTATGGAGAAAGTATTTAAAATGTGCTTCATGGATAAATGAATATATGAAAGGATAGTCAATGCACCACTTATAACACTGGAGAAAATGCAAGGGAATGTTATCTTAATTTTCAAGTTGCTTGGAAATCGTGTTTGTAATAAAATGAAAATGAAAAAGGTCATTCTTAATTTAAGAGGTCTCCTTTTTGTAGCCATTCTTAACCCTTTCCAGTAGATTATTTGTGGAATAGTTAAAACAATTCTGTGTAAGGGAAAAATTTGTAAAATGATGCAGTGTTTGAGTTATAGATTTCTCAGTTATTTGCTATTATGTGACATGTATATAATCTTTGATATACGTTTAATATATTTGAAAATTTTTTCCAGATTCTTAATTCCAACCACAGCAGTTTAGGATAGCAACCCCAAACCCCCAAATATCTTTGCTTCATTAATACTCAGTTTTATTTGTCTTATTCCTGAATTTCTTATACTTCTTTATTACAATGTTTTTATTTTGGTCATTTTGTGATGCATTATATTTTAATCATGAATTATGTTAGACATGCAAATAGTAGGGAGAAATTGGAAAGAATTTCAGTGTAGCCACCAGTTAAGATTTAAAGCATTTGAAGTTCAATTAAACCTACCTGCTAACTCACCCTGCTGACATTTCCTTCACTGGCTGCTCCTCTCAGTAGTGATTCACTGCTGTAAATTAAGTGTGGTTTTTATCCTTAGAATGCACATTTGTTTTTCTAAGCAGCAGGCTACATTGTTGTACCTTTTTAATCTTTTAAACTTTTCTATAGTGGCATCATACGGTATGCATACATCTGCAACATTTTTGTCCCCTCAGCATTAGGTTTTGAGTGTCTGCTGCTCTACATCCTTGCCAATGCTTGTTATTGTTCTGTTTTTTAATTTGTGCAAATCGGATGAATATAAAATTGCGTTTCACTATGGTTTAATTTGCATTTCTGTGATTACAATGACGTTAAACTCCTTTTCTGTATTTGATTGATCTAGATTTTTTTCTTTTTACTGTATGATAGCCTTTTTTTTTTTTTTTACAGTTCTTTGTACACTTTGGATTGATCATCTTTTTAGTGACTAGTTGTTTTTTTCCTTGTGTCTGTCAAATGATGAACAGATGTTCTTACTTTTGAATTAAGGTATCCGTCTCTTTA